GCTTGTGTTCCCTCTCTCGCTGTCTTTCTCTCTGTTAAAAAATAAATAAAAAATCTTAAAAAAAAAAAAAAAAGAAAGAAAGAAAAAGTCTAGAAAAAAAATACCTTTTTGGGGTAAACAAGGATGCTTCAGTCATCTGCAAAAATCAGCTCATGTGGAGTGTTGGCGAGGAGGCAGAGAAATGGGAGCCCTGGTGCACTGTGGGTGGGAATGCAAACTGGTGCAGCCACTACTAGAAACAGTATCGAGGTTCCTCAGAAAATTAAACAGAACTACTGTGTGATCCAGCAACCCCACTTCTGGGTATATACCTGAAAAAAATCAAAAGCAGGGACTCAAAGAGATATTGGTATACCTGTCTCCATGGCATTATTTGCAATAGCTAAAATGTGGAAGCAACCCAAGTGTTGAATGAATGGATGGATGGGTAACAAACTGTGCTCTGTATATTCAGTGGAATAGTATTCAGCCTTAAAAAGGAAGGAAATCTGGGTATGTGCTATAATACGAGTGGACCTTGAGGACACGATGCTAAGTGAAATAAGCCAGCCACAAAAAGATAGACACTGTATGAGTCCTCTTGGATGAGGCACCCAGGGGAGTCAAGTTCATAGAGACAGGAAGTAGAATGGTGGTTGCCAGGGCTCGGGGAGAGGAGAGTGGGGAGTTGGTGTTGAATGGAGACAGAGTTTCAGTTTTACAAGATGAGAAGACTTCTGTAGTTGGTGCAACAACATAAATATACTGAATGTCACTGAGCTGTACATTTAAAACTGATACAAATAGGAAATTTTATCTTATGTGTATTTTGCCACAATTTAAAAAAATCTACTTATGTGGCATTGCCTCTTCTCCCAAATGAGTATGTAAGTTATTACTGCAATTTGTTGGGTTTTTTTTTTAAGATTTTATTTATTTATTTGAGAGCAAAGGAGAGCAGAGAGAGAGACAGCAAGTGCGGGGAGGGAGAGGGAGAGAGAATCTGAAGCAGACTCCCTGCTGAGCACAGAGCCCGACATGGGGCTCGATCCCATGACCATGAGACCATGACCTGAGCCGAAACCAAGAGTCTGACGCTCAACCGACTGAGTCACCCAGGCACCCCACTGCAATTAGTTTAAAACCCTCTGAGCCCTTCCTGCCTAGCACCGAGGAGGTGTGGGCAGAACCCCTGTGACCATGCTGTGACCATTTAATACAAAATAACCAAACAGAGGGATGCCTGGATGGCTCAGTCCGTTAAGCATCTTCTTCCGCTCAGGTCATGACCCCAGGGTCCTGGGATTGAGCCCTGAATCGGGCTCAGCAGGAAGCCTGCTTCTCCCTCTGCCTCTCCCTCTGCCTGCTGCTTCCTCTGCCTCCCTGCTTGTGCTCTCTGTCAAATAAATAAATAAATACAATCTTAAAAAAAAAACAAAAAACAAAACCAAAATAATCAAAGAGAAGTGCGGGGAGAGGTGGTTGAAAGCTAGGCTGGACGCTGGCCATACAGGTGTCCCTCATTCTCTGAGGAGGAAAGGGGACAACTTCCAGTAGGTATCCCGAGGGTTAGTCAGTGCCAGAGGGCTCGCAGGCAGTCTTGTGTCCATAACAGGCCCTCGCCATCCTGTGTTTTCATCCAGGTTGCCTTTTTCCTCTACAATGGAGTATCGCTGGACCAATTCGTGCTGCAGGTAACCCATCCGCGGTACCTGAAGAACTCCCTGGTTTACCACCCGCAGCTCCGAGCGCAGGCGTGGCGCTACCTGACGTACATCTTCATGCATGCGGGGTGAGTACCTGCCTTCTTTCGCTCTGGCCAGAGTCCCTGTGGGAAAATAGGAGGTCTAGAGAGCCTAGATTGAAATACGTGTTGTTTTAGTTTATTTTTATCTGCCTGGACATAGCATTTGAGGTGGCTCCTTGAAACTTATCTAATACCAAAATATATGAGTTACTTATTGACAGTGTGTGGGAAGGGGGAAATGGATGGATGAAAATGCTCAATTTAAGCCCACAGTGAGAGCAGTATAAATATAGGTTATAAGTTTGCTCTGAGCTTCCTAGTGGCCAAGGCAAAAAGGGAAGTGTGGTTAGCAACCAAGTTCATTGTCCACAAACTCTGTGTGTGTGTGTGTGTGTGTGTGTGTGTCTCCTTAAGTGAAACAAAGGACAAATTTCTTTCCTTTTTTTTTTTTTTTTTAAGATTTTATTTATTTATTTGAGAGAGAGAGAAGCCACATGAGAGGCGGGAGGGTCAGAGGGCGAAGCAGACTCCCTGCCAAGCAGGGAGCCCGATGCGGGACTTGATCCAGGGACACCAGGATCATGACCTGAGCCGAAGGCAGTCGCTTAACCAACTGAGCTACCCAGGTGCCCACAAAGGACAAATTTCTTTTGAAAGTACCTTTTTCCCAAGGTGGTCTCCATAGGTGGTGAGAGTCTTTTTGAGGAATTCTAGCAATACTGGTAGTTTCTGTTGACAGATATGTGGCCTCTTTTGGGGCTGGAATACAGTCAGTTCTCATGGGTGCCTCCTACCCCATGATAAGGACCTACTGTCTGGCCAGGTGACCACCCGGGTCCCAGTCCCCTCTGGACTGGAGACTGTTTTTAAACAGTAAAAGCATTGAGTTGGGAAAGCTGAGTAGCCAGACACCCAGACCTTTGTTGTGTCTTCTATGGCCTCTGCAGAGAGAAGCGAAAGGGCTCACCGTTCGCCTGGGAAAAGTCGGGGTGCTTGTCCCTGGGGTTGGAAATGGGAAGAGGATCACTCTGGTCCCTGTGGCTCCATTATTTCCATTCCTTAGCAGAAAGACCCACAATGGCCAAGAGGGAGCCACACTGTGAGCCTCCCCTCCTGCTGAGGAGTCTCCAAAGCAGCACAGGTGCCAATCCCTAATTGGTTACACTTACTGAAGAGGAGTTTTGGGGTGACCAGGCATGTCAGTGGTTACCAATGGCTGTCTCCACTCTGGGTCAGAAGAGGGGATGGTTTGCGCAGGCTGGCGCTTTGCCTGCCATGTCTCAGGCTTTGCTCTCATAGGGCCAAGGAGCAGAACGAGGGGGGTGCATCATGCATTGGTCTTCTTGTGAACCAAGGAACTGGGGGTGGGGAGGGAGGCTTCCCTGCCCAGGCTGCCCAGCCTCTGACTGCACATGGGATGGAACTTATGCATGTCTTGTCTTGTTTCTGGGACTGCCCTCTGGCCTTCCCTGAGCCTCTGGGGTGAGGAACAAGCATGCACAAAGCCTCCAAAGCCTCCTTGTCCACTCCCTGCCTCTGGGAACTAAAAGCCTGGAGGCCAAAGTGGACAGGGCACAGAGGCTCTTAGCCGAGGACCATAGGGGTGGCCTCCGGCCTTTCTCTGGCTGGTGCTTCTGATGGGGCAGTGCCTGCCTGGGGGAACCCTGGGAGGAGCTTCCTGGTGTGTGATTTTGAGGGAGGGGCTCTTGGACAGGAGGTAGGGATGGTTGGCCAGCATGTGGGGCGAGCCCAGCAAGGTGACCTATGACCGAGAGGCCCACTGTGGACTGGTGAATCCAGAAATCAGTGTGGTAGAGAGGAAGGAGCTCGGCTTGGGAGGTAGAGTCCTGGGTCCCTCTCCTGGCATCTTCTAGTCTCGGGCTCTCATCTGTAAACCAAGGACTGAGTCTGATGCTACCGCCCGACTCCTTTCCAGGGCATTTGTCTGACGCTTCTAACCCTTTGGCTGGCACAGTTGGTGTGGGCTAGAAAACTCCAGGCATGGTGGGAGTTTAGGACAGAGCCCCATCTGTCTGAGCTACCTTGCAGGTGCTCTCCTGGGCAGGCAGGTGCCCACGTGGACCCGAGTGGCACAGCAGTTGGCCTCCAGGCAGGGCCCTGCCGACCAGGGCCAGGGCTGTGACCCAGCCAGGGCCCCCCCATGATGTGCTCTGTTACCCTATAACAACCATCCCCAGGAAGCTGTGCAGATGCTGTAGGCTCAGTTTAAATGAGATAATGGATGTTAAAGTGTTTTGTAAATTTGAAAGCACATATTTGTTGTAGTGATAGTAATGTTACAGTTTTTTCTAGTAACAGGTGCACTCAGCTAGACACCATTTAGCAACAAGAGCTGGTCACAGGTGTATGATAGTATAAAAAGGGAAGTATTCACAGAGTAAGAAAAGCCATCCCTGGGAGTTTGGGAGTAGAGAGTGTTCCTTCTCACACCAGGAGGGAGAAGCTTCCCCTATGAGATCTTAAGGGATAACTTTGAATTATTAAGTTCTAGGGGCACCTGGGTGGCTCAGTCAGTTAAGTGTCTGCCTTCAACTCAGGTCATGATCGCAGGGTCCTGGGATTGAGCCCAGCGTCGGGCTCCCTGCTCAGCGGGGAGCCTGCTTCTCTCTCTCCTGCTCCCCCTGCTTGTGCTTGCTCCCTCTCTCTCTTTTCTGTCAAATAAATAAAATCTTAAAAAACAAAGGAATTATTCAGTTCTAAGAGATATCTCTAATGCTTGCTTTTGTTTTGAAAACATCTTTCCTTTTTTTTTAAGACTTTATTTGAGAGAGAGAGAGCGAGGGAGCACAAAGCAGGGGGAGGGGCAAACGGAGAGGGAGAAGCAGGCTCCCCGCGGAGCAGAGAGCCCGACGCTGGGCTTGATCCCAGGACACTGGGATCATGATCTGAGCCGAAGGCAGACGCTTAACCGACTGACCCACCCAGGCGCCCTGAAAACATTTTTCTCTTACACATACAATAGTGAGCCCCGGAGCACCCTTGTAGCCTGGTGAGTGGAGCAGATTCTGCACATCAGGAACCTGAGCTGTGTGACTTTAAGCCAGGCAGTGCCCCTCTCCAAGCCTTGGCTTCTCATGTGTCATCCGATGGATTTGCTGGATCTCTACCATGGTTAGCTGCCCTCTTCACTATGGCAGGTGCAGACATTGGCAAACACTGCCCAGGCCCTGCACCGTTCCTGTCCCAGGTGGCAGGCAAGGTATGCTCTTTCCAAGATGGTCTGTCTGCATTGTAATTCCTGCCCCCACCCCCAACCCAGACCATGAGCTCCTCAAAGCAGGTATAATTCACTGCTGGATCCCTGCATCTTGGCATACAGTGTTTACTGAATGAATGAATGAATGAATGATGGAGTGTGGTCTTTCTATACAGGATAGAACACCTGGGACTCAACGTGGTGCTGCAGCTCCTTGTGGGGGTGCCCTTGGAGATGGTGCATGGAGCAACCCGTATTGGGCTTGTCTACGTGGCTGGTGTTGTGGCAGGTAGGCAGGTGGGCCACGAATCCACAGAGGTAAACTTCCCCAAGGCGGCGAGGAGACCCCATGGGATTGGGCAAGTCCCAGGCTTCCAGGGACACCAGACTCCATCCCCAAGGCTCCTAACTATTAGGGTTGTCCTCCAGGCCAATCTCCCCACCACCCCAGGGGGGCTGGAAAGGGGCCTACCATCCACAGGGAGAGGCATGTGATGGCAAGGGGAGGAGACTTTCTGTCTTTATGCTGCCATGTTGAAGCTGTGTGAGCTTGGGGAAATTCCTTAACCTCTCTTGGCCCCATTAAGTTTTAGGAAGGAACTAATCAGATTTGCCTGTAGGGTGTTAGGAGGGCAGAGGGAGGTGACAAGTGGAATAAGAGGGCCGTGTAAACCGTGCTGGGCACAGTGAGATTGCTGCAGGGACATCCAAGGTGTGGGTGGGCCCAGGTCCCTCCCCGGCCAGGCCAGCACCTGCCCTCCTGATTGACCCACTGCTGACAGGAAACAGTCTGGCCTGAGACGTGGTGAGCACCCATGCCAGCTGAAGGAGACTGGGGCCCCGCTGACTCCACTCACATGGCATAGGACCATGACCTTGAGGATGGGGAGGGTACCCTATAGCCAGCGGGACTCCCCCTCTCCCTCCCCAGTGGAGGTGAGGCGGGCTGGGGTGAGCTGAGGAGAGCAGGCTGCATTTCTGCAGGAAAAGTCTGCACCAACCAGGTTTCTGAACAGAGGGATCTCCCTCATGATGTTTCCAACTTTATAGCTGGGTTTTTTTTTTTTTTTACAAGGTTTGCCGCCTCAGCTCTTCACCTTGACAGCTGTGCCCAAGGGAGCTTTGTGTGTATGTTTAAGTAAGATCTTAATCCTTTCTGAGTGGCATTAAAATTGTCATCAGGAGGGCAGGGCACCATTGACCTTGTAAACAACAGGCACACAGGGACCCTGGGAGTAACTGATGTGGCTTCAAGAGTCCGAGAGGGAAGGGTCCCACCCCACCCACCCATGAGAGGCTGGTCTGCTAGTTCAGGAACCCTCAGCGTGGGAGATTGGCCCCACAGCTTCTTCATTACTCTGTGTGCTGAGGGTTGAAAACTTGGCCACCTTGGACAGCACCCCCACGAGCTTCTCCCGGCATCCAGTACCTTCCACATCCTTGAACAAAAGCTCTAATGAGGAGCTCTGTGCCAGACTTACTCAGCCACCCACGTACCCCCCCAATCTTGACATCTGGAGATTTATAGCCACATTTTCTCTACCTAGATACCCAGAGACCCAGATGGTTAATAGCGAGGAACAGGAAAGACACTCATAACACTTGCAGTTAGTAGTCAATTGGAAGGGAGTGCCAATAACCCAGAAGACAGAAATCAGATTCAAGATGACTCAGGCCTCACCCAAACCAGATGACACCCAGCAGGGAGGCTGCACTGGTGACACTTCCCAGTGACACCAGTGCAGAGGGGGATGGTGCACTGACGGAAGGGGGGTGCTTGCCAACTAACCAGCAGGGTGTGGGGCTGTATCATAAAGCAAATGACGCGTACTATTCTGTCGGAGGCATTGATTTAGAGAGGGCACTCTGATCACTGTATATCATGTCATTGCTCTCCAGGATCGAGTTGATGGATCTTCCTGTACCCCTTCCTCCCTCTCTACTCCGTGTGCATCCCAAGTCTGAGAAGGGGCCCCATTCACAGACAGCCGGGTCCTGACTGGATACCCAGTAGTTAGGAAGGGCCTGCCTTCCTAAGGCAGGTACTAACACTTTCCACTTGTCACAGGTACAGAACCCGAGCCTTAGCGTGCCTCAGCGACTTGCCCAGGGAGACTCAGTTGTACGTGGTGGAGCTGACCCCAGACCCAGGCCGCCTGACCCAAAGGCTTGCTTCAAACCACTGCCATATGCAATGAGAACCAAAAGGCAGGCCTTTTCCTTTGTGCAGATAATTTATTTTCAGAAACCCAGGGAGGTCTTAATAGACATCAGGCCCTGCCCTTTAGTTCCTGCCCAGTGAAAATGCTCCAAAGGCAGGGCCGTCACAATCTGTAGCAATGGCGGCTAATGTCTGCCAGGTGCCATAGGGGATTCTCGCACATTGTGTCCTGAATTCACCAAGTCTTACGAGGTGGGCACTGTCACCTCCATTTTATAAGAGGTTCTGAGAGGTGAAATGACTTGCTCAATTTTCTCAGAAGGACTAAGAAGTACTACAAGTGAGTGGAAATCCTTCGTCTGCCCAGTGCTTGAGGCCAATGCATCTCTCGCTTCTAGCTAACAAATCCATGGCTGAAATTTTAGATACTGTAAAAGCCAGTATTTTAAGCGCTTCGGCAAGCTCTTCTTATAGATTATGTAGATTATAAGCCACGTGTGCCTCCCCAGAGCCTAATGCAGGGTTTGGCATATGTTAAGCAACAAATATTTGTAGAACAAATGGAAGAATACATACATAAATAAAGTTATATTGCTTAAAGGTAGATGTTCTGCTGATTTTTATTGGGATTTTTTTTTTCTTTAATGGCCAAGAGAGATGTTGGAAAACACCTGCTTTAAATATTTCAGGCTAAAATTATCACAGCTGTGCATGATGATAAAGTCTCCAATTTATCTGCGTGCTGGTGTGGACCCAGAATTTTTTTGAGAAAGTTCACAGCCCTGACTAGAGCTAGTCCTTGGGCCTGCTGCTGTGCAGAGATGTGTGTGTCCCTCCAGCTTGCCATTCTGTCCCCATCCTCTGTCCCCATGACCTCTGGGGAATTCATACTGGCCTTATGGAGCTGTCATCCGTTAGGTTAGCTTCCAAACAGCTTGTCAGGAATCCTGCCTGGCCCAGGCTTCTTGCCCCCAGGGGTGGCCTTTATTACTCTATTTATGGGCACACATGCCCATGCTTGTATTTGACCTTTCCCACTCCCTCTAGTCCAGGGCTAAACTGCAGCCTCTTGAGGAAAGTCTTCCCACCACACATGGAGGACCGGTGAATCCAGATTGTTACCTCTAGGATTCTAGAACCAGAATCCAAACCTCAGATCTTGGATCTTAGGCCAAGATTCAGGTGATTGAATCTGTGATCTGGAAGGAACTCTCGAGGTCCCCTCTGGTGGGTGGCAAATTTGACTCCCCAGGCCCCACCCCCCTTTAGCCATAGGCTCCCTGTGCTCTGCTCCATGGGGTAGGGGTGTGGGTAAAGTTTCCTTTGAAAAGAGGGTTTTGCTGCTTAGAAGTTGAAAAGCCTTAGATCTCTTGATTTCACAGATGTGAAAGCTGCAGCCCAAAGAATTCAGGGGCTGTGCCCAAGGTCATACGACTAGCCAGTCACGCCCCCATTCCAGACTCCCGCCACAATCCCAACCTGACCCCTGACCCTGGGGTCAGGGACTTCTACCCATGGGTAGGGCAAGAGAAGGGTCAGTGTGGGGAGGCTGGACCCTGGACCGTGCGTGGATCCCATCGCACCGGGGAGGCCGGGGGAGCAGAAGCTGGGCAGGTTTGGTGGGACCTGCGAGAGGAAAGAGGCCAGCCCGAGGAGGCTGGGGCTTCCTCTGTCCACGCGGTAATTAATGAGCTGCTCTTAATGAGCTGCTCGGGCAGCCAGCCCTCCGCAGCCCTGCAATGCAGCTTTCCTTGCTGTGCGGGCCTCCGGGAGAGCGTGGGAATCCTTTGTCATGCAGATCCCACCGCCGGCCTGTTTGCCATCCTGGGTTTTTTTTTTTTTTTTTTTTCCTGTTATATATGGCTGACCCCTTGGCTAGGCAGTTAAAAAAAAAAAGTTATCTGACAATAGATCAATACCTAATTAAAGCCAGAGGGAAGGCATGAAAGGGGAGAAGAAAGACTTATAGTTACCCTGGGAGGGGAGAAGGACTTGGGAGCTCCCCGTTCATGACAGTGCTTTTTCCTGGGAGATCACATCCCCCTTGAGACCCAGAATTTGCTGTGGGGATCTCTTACTTGAAGGATCTCAGTGAGCCATGAAGCCTTGAGAGAAGTCCAAGGGGGCTGGTAGGGGAGAGAAGGTGGATGATGTTATGGGGGTTCTCCATGCTCAGGGGTGTCAGGCGCTCTGGCTCCTGGCCTTGGCCCAGCCTCCGCCTAAGTAGCAGACCCCCCACCTCTGTAGAACCTGCAGAGTTTGGCCTTGGGCCGGTCCCTCCTGTCTCCACCCAGGCAGCGGCTAATTGGCTCTCTAGCCTGCGGGCATTTTCCAGTGGTGGTTTCTGCACACTCACCCAGGCCGGCCACCTCTCAGCCTCAGAGCCCTGGGCTCTACCTCCCAGTTATTTTTAGTCTCCTGTGTCCTTCCCTGGAAGCCAAAGCATTGATCACACTTAAATGAGACCAGAACAATACATTTCCCTTCTCCTCTCTGCCCGGCTTCCCTTCCAGCACAAAAGTTTGTCATCCCCCAGACCAAGAGTCTATACCCTTCTTTTCCCCCAGAGGGTATGACATCATCTCTCTCTCTTCCCTGGGACTTTTCAAGGACATTTTTCCTCCAGAGAACACCCCCCACCCTGCTCCGGAGATCCTGTTGGCCTTTGGTAATTTCACTCTTTCACTCGGCTGGAGGGAGGTTGGAGGTGATGCCAAGCAGGTTTCTAGATGCCGTTGAGCAGAGCGAGCGATGGTAGAGGATGGACGTTGACCTCTGTACCAGTTTGGGGAGTGGCTGCTGTCGAGGCCAAGAGCACGGGCCTTGTGCCACAAAGCTGGACTCACATCCTGGTTCCAGCCCTTCCTACTGAGTGACTCTGGGCTCAGTCTCCTCACCTCTGTGGTATGGCCACTGTCGCCGTCCTCAAAGGATTAAAGGGGACCATGTACGTAAAGCACGTGGCCAGTGTCTGATGCGTGGTGCCCATGCACTACTTCTGCTTCTGCTACTTTTTCTTTCTCTTTTTTTAAAGATTTTATTTATTTATTTGAGAGAGAGAGTGCACAAGCAGGGGGAGTGGCAGGCAGAGGGAGAAGCGGCTCTCCGCTGAGCAGGGAGCCTGATGTGGGGCTCGATCCCAGGACCCCGGGATCATGACCTGAGCCGGAAGCAGTTGCTTAGCCATCTGAGCTACCCAGGCGCCCCTCTGCTACTATTTCTTATTGCCCTAAACCCCCAGGTGACACCAGGTGAGGCAGAGGCTGCCCTGACAGGCAGGTGATCCCTCCCCTCCACTGGGTCTCCTATAAAAGAAGTTTGAATCAAAGGGTTCTTTCAGCCATAAATTAGGCCTCTAGGGGGCTCCAGGACAACGTGGGATGAAGGCAAGAGGAGATGGATCCTTTTGCTCCAGGGTCTTACCCCCAAGGCTGCTGGATACTAGAGCCTGGGACAGGGGTGGGGAGCTCACTCCAGCATCCTTGAATTCCCCATCTCTCTCTGTACCAGGGTCCTTGGCGGTGTCTGTGGCTGACATGACTGCACCGGTCGTGGGCTCCTCTGGAGGGGTGTATGCACTTGTCTCTGCCCATCTGGCCAACATCGTGATGGTGAGCACCTCCTGTCCCAACATGCCTATCTTGGCATCCCCTCTGCGCCTCAGTCCTTGTCTACTCCCCAGCTCAGACCCAGAAATGCCAGGCAGACCTGGCTCATAGGAGGTTTCACAGATGCTCCTCACTTTCTGTAGGCTCATTTCAAATGGGACCCTTCCATATATGATTCTTGTTTTTTTCTTCTTGGCTATGAAGTTACCCATTTCCCTAATTCTATCCCTTTCCCACCTGACTTTAGAAAATGTTACAATAGGGTCTCCTGGCTGGCTCAGTTGGAAGAACAGATGACTCTTGATCTTGGGGTCATGAGTTCAAGCCCCACTTTGGGCCTAGAGGTTAGTTTAAAAAAAAAAAAAGGAGCTGGGGATGCCTGCAACTCTTTTTTTTTTTTCTATAAGATTTTATTTATTTGAGAGAGAGAGCACAAGCGGGGACAAGAGGCAGAGGGAGAAGCAGACTCCCCGCTGAGCAGGGAGCCCGATGCAGGGCTTGATCCCAGAGGCCAGATCCCAGGACCCTGAGATCGTGACCTGAGCCGAAGGCAGATGCTCAACTGACTGAACCACCCAGGCACCCCTAAGCGTCCAACACTTGATCTCAGCTCAGATCCTGATCTCGGGGTCATGAATTCAAGTCCCACATTGGGCTCCATGCTGGGCGTGGAGCCTACTTAAAAGAAAAAAACTTTAAAAAATGTTACAATCCTTGACCCCTAGTGGCAAAATCGGGACTTGAACCCACAGCTCCTGACAATGATTCAAGTGTCATTTCCTTACACCAGCCTCTTACAGTGGTGGGACACTGCCCTTCCTTTCCCATGTTCTTCTTTGCCTTTTCCTGAAAGGCATTCTAGGGTAATTGTTGAGAGCACAGGCTCTGGAGCCAGTCAGCCGAGATCTGAATCCTGGCTACCTGCTTCCTGAAGAGGGATCTTGGGCAAATTACTCAGTTTCTACATCGGTGAAATGGGATGATATGTGATAAAGGAGATAAAGTGAAGATATAACCACTCCGTATAAATGTTAACTCCCTACACCTCTCAGAAGAGGCCCGGGCGGACTCAGAATAGAGAGAGAGTCTGCAAGGCAAGAAATTGGAATCAGTTTAGTAGTCTCAGAGGAGGCCAAAGTCCTTGTTTTAGAGGCCGTTGGAAGGAGGGGGCCTCTAGGCGGGGTCCAGGTCTTTTACTCATCCCCAGTGCCTGGCACAAGGGCTGGACGAATGGCAGCTGGTGCCGACTAAATTTTTTTATTTTAAACAATCTCTACAACCAGCATGGGGCTCGAACTCATGACCCCGAGATCAAGAGTCACATGTTCCACCGACTGAACCAGCCAGGTGCCCCCTCCCCCCAACCTGCCGACTAAATTTTGAATGAATGAAGGAAGAAATGAACAGTGTCTAGAAAAGGCGTAGCTTCCCGCCAGGGTCCTCCTGTTCTCACCTCCCTCCTCCGTCACTGTCTTCACCCACGTGGCGGATGTGTGAATGCTTAGTTACAACAGTCTGGAGTTCCTAAATTCTCTCGTTTCTTCTTTATTATTGCCACTGTCACCTGCCGGCTCTTTTCTTTTCATCAAAGTCCCCTTTGTACATCGAGAGCGAGAGCGAGAGCGAGAGAGAGAGAGCGCGCAGGAGAGGGACAGAGGGAAAGAAAAGAAGGGGGGAGGGGAGAGCTGGACAGACAGACACTGACAGCACTTGCTACTTGTCTGAATTTTGGCAACTTCGTGTGAGCACCTGAGAGAGAGCCAGCAGGTGTGGGAAAGCTCGTGTGGGTGTGCACGCACACGTGCACTTACACACGCATGTGCGCACACACGCGGCCCGTCTGCTGAGGAACCTGGCAGCACGGGGCTGCCTCGCGTGGCCCTTTTAAATGGGTCATTCTGTATCAGTGCTACAGCCTTCCCCAGACACAGCTCTTTCCCTGAATTCCATCTCCGCCACCCCCCCTCCCCCTGCCCCAGTTCCTTTCTGTAGGGGCCGAACTGCTAACAAACCCTCCTTCCCCCTAAGATATGCATGTGTGTGTGTGTGTGTGTGTGTGTACGAACAGCACAACGGAAACAGACGCGAGTTCATAAGATGCCCGGTTTCCACGCCCTTCCCTGCCGCATGGGAAACAGCCCCGAGGCCCCCCAAGTTCCCGCGGTGAGGCCAGAGCACCCCAAGAACTGTGGGGTGTGGGGTGGCGGTTGAGGAGGGAGGGGTGAACGCCGTTTTGTTCCAGTTTACACTTCTTTCTGGCAAGTAGCCCATGGCCTGTGGCGGTGGAGATGAGCAGTCCCACCGGAGAGCCCATTGCCCTTCTAGAAGGACATGGCTTTCCCTGGCCCCCTGGGAGCTTTGCAGTCCCCGGAGCATGACATCTGTGGTAGCCTTTCCCTAGAAAGTTGTGTGGTGCTTATTTGATGGGGAAAAAAATACCTCATGTTCTCATTAGAAAGATTGGTTTCCTTTCAACAAGAGGCCGCCTTTACCCACAGTAGCTCAGAGCCCAGCACTTCAGAGATGCGTTAGGACAAACCCTATAAAATGGCCATTTCGGCGGGCCAGAAGCAAACATTGGCAGTTTCATGTGGTTCCGTCTGATAGATATGCTAGTATTTTAAATTGCCAAATGAAGATTTGCTCTGTGTGTGTGTGTGTGCGCGCGCGCGCGTGCACAATAAAGTGCCTTGTCAGAACGGGTAGGCGAAAAGAGCAAGACAGTCAGAAAATCTGGATTTGAGTCCTGGTGTCACTACCTTAAGAGCCTCCGCTCCCTCATCAGCAACCCCTTCTCCACAAGGTAGTTGTGAGAAATACAGGAAAAGGATGGATGGAAAAATGCTTTCCATGTGGCGAATCACCACACAGCTGGGGGATCCAGTGTGTGCACACTTGTGTATGTGTGTATATGTGTGAATGTGTTTGTATATCCTCGAATACATGTAATTTTTTATATTTATCCATTTTGCCTGTTATCTGCAGAGAACAATGAGGAAAATGCGTCCTTTTTACTTCAGATACAAAACAGAAAAGTGTTGAACACTTCTATTCTCAGGACTATTTAAGTGAGAGATTCTGCCTTAAATGAAAGCATGTCTTATTTTTCATAAAAATATTCTGAGTTCCAGGGATACTTGGCTGGCTCAGTCCGTGGAGCATGCCACCTTTGATCTCGGGTTTGTGAGTTTGAGCCCCACGTTGGGTATAGAGGTTACTTAAAAATAAAATCTTAAAAAAAAACCCCAAAACCACTTAGAGTTCCAAAAAGCTTGCAGTTTATATCGAGGGATTAAGTTCAGAAAATATTTCAACAAAAAAACTGGATGGCATAGAAGACCTGCAATTAAGACTTGTTAGATTAGGGACGCCTGGGTGGCTCAGTAGGTTAAGCGTCTGCTTTGGCTCAGGGCGTGATCCCAGGGTCTTGGGATCGAGTCCTGCATCGAGTCCTGCATCAGGGTCCTTGCTCAGCGGGGAGCCTGCTTCTCCCTCTGCTCCTCCCTCTGCTCCTCCCCCTGCTTGTGAGCTCGCTCTCTCTCGCTCACTCTCTCTCGCTCACTCACTCTCTCTCGCTCACTCGCTCTCTCTGACAAATACATAAATTAAAAAAAATCTTAAAAAAAAAAACTTGTTAGGGCGCCTGGGTGGCTCAGATGGTTAAGCGTCTGCCTTCGGCTCAGGTCATGATCCCAGGGTCCTGGGATTGAGTCCCGCATCTGGCTCCCTGCTCCTTGGGAGCCTGCTTCTCCTTCTGCCTCTCTCTCTCTCTCATGAATAAATAAATAAAATCTTTAAAAAAAAAAAAAACTTGTTAATTTAAATGCTAGAAGTAGGGGCACCTGGGTGGCTCAGTAAGTTAAGCGTCTGCGTTCGGCTCAGTGCATGATCCCAGGGTCCTGAGATCGAGCCCCACATTGGGCTCCCTGCTCAGCGGAGAGTCTGCTTCTCCCTCTCCCTCTGCCCACGACCCCCCACTCCCACCCATGCTCATGCTGTCTCTTAAATAAATAAAATCTTAAAAAAAATAAATGCTAGAAGTATAAAGAAGAATAATTTATAAATTGCTTTTTGCTGGGGCCCACAGGCCAGCATTCCATTATTAAATATACAAGATGTTTTCTTACACTTCACTCTGTACAATGGATGTTTCCCTAAAAAATGTTTGAGATCTCAGTTTTTGCAACAGGACCATATTGTTAAAGCACAAAGAAAGACTATTGTCTAAAAGACACCCGAGATCTCTATGTTGTAAGGCTCATTTTATTAATAAAAATCCTCTCGTAGGACAAGTAATCGCTCCCTAATTTATCTGTGTCATGCTCTCCCTTTCCTTGTGCTGGGTTTTCAGGAAGTTGTTTCTACCAGGATATGTAAAACCATCAAGCTCCCACCTGGGTTTCAACCTCTGTGCTCTTAACTGGTGAATGAGATGCCGAGGGTACTGGTCACCACCTTGTTTGCTGAGGGTGGGTTCTTTCTCACCCTGCAAGGCTCTGGGAGAGAAAAACACGAAAAGGCCTGCAAAAGATGTGTGTTCCCTGGGTCCGCAGGTGTTTCCACATTTATAGCAGCAGTGCTGGCTATAGGGAGATTCTCTTTTCTCTTATTGTTTCACTGCAGCGCATTTTATTGAGGGAATAATGGGTCGGGAAAACGAAGCAGCTGGTGGGAAGGGGTGACTGTAGTTGAACCCCTCAGTGCTGTGAGACAAGTCATTGACCCATGTTCTCTAAGCTTTGGGGGCAACTGGAGCGGCCAGCAGGGACAGACAGAATGTGACCCTGTCTCCGAAGTGGGGCAGACAGAGCCCTGGACTCATTGTTAACTTACTCTGACCTTGAACCAGCCCTCCTGGACTGATTCTCAGTTTCTTCTTCCCCAAAGTGTAGGGTTGGAGATGTAACTGGATCAACCTGGCCAGTTCCAGTGCCTTCAGGGGCCAGGCAGTGATTCTAAAGGGAGCCGGCCTGGGGAAGCTGGGGAGGCTGGGAAGGCCAGAGCTGCCCGGCTAGACCAAGGTCATTCAGAAGTTTTAAAGGTGCTGTGCAGGGCAAACCCACTGTCTTTGCCTCAGGTCTCGATGATCATATCAGACACTTACATGATGCTTACCACATGCCAGGCAGTGTTCTTAGTGCTTTATGCATATGAATTCATTTTACTTTCACAACCCAGTGAGGTAGGTAATTGAGATAGGCACTAATGGTACCCCAGATTTACAAATGAAGACACCAGCCAAAAAGGAGTTCTGAGTCACCTCACCAATGGCTTTGCCAGACCAAAGATATGGAGGGTACTTAGGGCTCAGATAGGGCCTGAAGGGGACATGCATGGACCTCCGCTGAAGGACAGAGTGGCCAATATATTCTAGACTGACCTTACCTGATATTATCACTCAGAACACAGTGAAAGAGACACTGTCTTTAGGTAAGATGTTCATTTGGAGGGGTTTTATGAGGGAAAGGAATATTGGAAGTGTTCTGTATCACGTTTGTTTTTAATGGTGGTAAAATATACCATAGCATAAAATTTACCGTCTTAACCATTTTTTAAAAATTTTATTTATTTATTTGACAGAGAGAGACACAGCGAGAGAGGGAACACAAGCAGGGGGAGTGGGAGAAGGAGAAGCAGGCTCCCCGCTGAGCAGGGAGCCCGACTCAGGGCTCAATCCCAGGACCCCAGGATCATGACCTGAGCTGAAGGCAGACGCTTAACCACGGAGCCACCCAGGCACCCCCTGTCTTAACCATTTTTAAGTATCCAGTTTAGTAGTGTCAAGTACATTCTCACTGGTTGGGCAATCATCACTACCGTCTATCTCTAGAATTCTTCATCTTGCAAAACTGAAGCTCTGTATCTACTAAACAACTCCCCATTCCTCCCTCCCCCAGCCCCTGGCAAACACTGTTCTACTTATTTTCTCTATGAATTCGACCACTCTAGGTGTCTCATAGAAGTGGGCTCATACAGACAGTATTTGTCCTTTTGGGACTGGCTTATTTCACTTAGCATAATGTCTTCAAGGTTCGTTCATTACAACATGTCAGAATTTCCTTCCTTTTAAAGTGCATGATATTCCCTTGTAGCTCCATTCACCCGTGCATGGACACTGGTTTGCTTCCACCTCTTTTGGTTATTGTGAATCATGCTGCTGTGAACATGGGTGTCACTTTGAGGGGAGACTTAGGATCCGTGGGTGGACATCACAGGGAGGCAAAGCCTGGCTGGACGGTAGCAGGAAGAATTTTTCAGTGGTTAGAGCCCCTTCACAGGGCTGCCCCAGGGGTGTCCCAGTGGTGGGAGGGCCATTTTGTCAGCAGGGGGGCAGTAGGTGTTGCCCTTTGGGAGGAGACGGTCTGTCAGGTGACTCCTAAGCACCTGCCCATCCCAAGGTTTCCTCCCGGAAGACCATCAGCCAGCCGAGCTGGGTTCCATTGGGTTGCCAGATCCAATGGAGGCCACCAACCCCTGTTTTGTTCCCTGTCTTCTGGTGGGGCTTCTCTGTGGGCAGCCACCAGCAGGTGACAACGTTGCCCACCATCTGCTTCTTAGCACAGAACATGTCAGCAAGCAAAGATGAGACTTCCTCACCTGAAGAGGGGCTGTGTGTTGCCCACCTCACCTTTTGAGACAAGGGCTTGCCCGTCAGTGGCGAATACTAGGGGAAAGGGAGGCGATGTGCGGGACGCCGACTGCCTTCTGCAGGATTTCACCCTCTTTTTGGCAGTTGCCCTGCATCTTGCTCACTCCACCGAAGCTTCATAAACATTATTGTGTGTGCCAGGGCTCAGGGCCCCTGGTAACGTTCAACACATGTGTTCCCCCAACATCAAAGGAGTGCGAGATGTGCCCTCAGCTGGGCCTGGGCCAGGCGGCAAAGGCAGAGTGGGTGGGTGGGAGGCAACAGAAGCCCCTGGCTGTACGCGGTTGCCTCCTTCCCTAGGGCTGATGTGTTCCAGGAAGATTCCAGACTCATTTCTGTGTGTGCGTGTATCTGTATAAATGGAATGGTGCTTTGAATGCGCCGTTGGGAGAGCCCCTCAAAGGAACCCCATGGCGAAGTCTTTTGTAAAGTGAAAAATCCTTTTGTAAGGTGAATAATTGTACTCTGTTCATCTGCTTTGGAGGTTCAGAGTGTTCTGAGATTCTCAGGGGAAAGAGGGATTTGTTTGGAGGCCCCCTTTTCCAATGCCTGATTCTGTAGAGCATCCCCTCCAAGTCATGTCAAGCCCCTGTTTGAACCTCTCAGTGATGGGAAACTCACGATCCCCCAAGATGGAATGTTCTGACTTATTAGAAATGGAAACATCTGGAGCTTAAAAAAATCCCTGAAGTTTTAATCTATGGAGTCTTCCAATTACAGATTACACTGAATGTGCCCTGTCCTTACCGTGACTCATTTGATATTTGACAACAGTGAACTTGACCCCCGGGTCTTCTCTCCATCCATTTCTCATAGGCTGGATTTTGATTTGTTTTATTATCCTGACGGTTCTGCTTTGACTTTGCTTGGTTTGCTGCCCTGCATCCCCTTCTGCAAACGTGGGATCCAGCAATCACTGTAGTTCTCAGGGGTTGTCTGCCCAAGTAGAGGGGACAGGGCCCTCATCTCCCTAGATCTGGATTCTCTTCCTCCTTTACTCCAGCTCAAGCGCTTTTATGACAGTAATAAATTCACCATTGTCTGAAATCTCATGCTGGTGTGATCTGCTCACGACTGCCTCATTCAAGACTTAATGGAGACTATTTTTTTAAAGATTTATTTATTTGAGAGAGCGAGAGAAAGAGAGAGTGCAAGCACGAGCCGAGGGAGGGGCAGAGGGAGAGAATCTTTAATCAGATTCCCCGCTGAGCTGGGAGCCCCGACAGGGGGCTTGATCTCAAGACCATTGAGGTCATGACCTGAGCCCCGAAGCCAAGAGTCAGACTGAGCCACCCAGGCACCCCAGTGTTAGGTTTTCTGAAGTGAGATACATCCGTAGAAGAGTGGTCAGATCTGGAACTAATGGCACTTTCTCCTTTTCCCCTAGAACTGGTCAGGCATGAAGTGTCAATTCAAGCTGCTGCGGATGGCTGTGGCCTTGATCTGTAGTAAGTGTGGGCAGGGCAGGCTGGGTGGGATGGAGCCCTGTCCCAGGCCTGGAGGACATAAAGATGGCGCAGTCCCTGCCCTGGAGGCCTTTGTGGTCAAAAAAAAGGGGAAACATGTCATCAGAGTGTGACAAAGTAGGGATGTTATGAGAGAAGTCTGGCCCACTCTGCTGCCGCTTAACCTTTCTTAAACTTTGTATTGACGTATAGTATGCACCCAGAAAAATACAGGATGAGTGTCCAGCTCAGTGACCAGTACCCAGATCAAGAAAAATAACTTCTTTTTAAAACATTTTATTTAAATTCAATTATTTAACATACAGCGTATTATTGGTTTCAGAGGTAGAGGTCAGTGATTCATCAGTCTTATTTGACACCCAAGTGCTCTCCTTAATGTCCATCACCTAGTGACCCCATCCCACCACCCCCCTCCCCTCCAGCAACCCTCAGTTTGTTTCCTAGAGTTAAGAGTCTCTTATGGTTTGTCTCAAGAAAAATAGCTTCTTCATAACCTTTTGGGTCATGGAGTCGATCCTTTGAGATCTCCTATTAGAAGCTAGAGACTCTTTCCCCAGGTTAACTCAAGTATACACACGCATGTACACACACACACACACACACACTTGCAGTTTAGCAGGTGAACAGACTGTAACTAATCCACGAAGCCCTGTGTACAGCGTGTGGTGGGGCCCTAGTCGGGAGAAGTCAGTTCTGCCTGCAGAGGTCATTTTGAGTGTCAAAGACAGCTCGGCGTTCACCGCGGAGGCAGGGTACAAGAGGACGTTTCGGGCAGAGATGCAGTGCGAACGTAGACACAGGTGTGGGGGAAGGGCCACGGCCGTCAGGGCAGTTGACGAGACTGACAGTGAGCTTTGGGACTGCGTGTGTTAGTGATCAGAGATAATAGGAGTCGGGTCATGAGGGCTTTAAAGGCAAAGAGAAAGGTTGGACTTCATCCTGGATGCACTGGGAGGCCGCTGAAGGGCTGTAAACAGGAGAGTTACTGGCAGATTTGAGTTCACGAGACTATTCGTGAGACCAGAGGCCTCACAAGAGGCTCATTCTGAGGTGGAAAGAGGTAAGATGCGATGCAGGCAGAAAGAGAGACGAGGGGACACACGGTCTCTCATTCAGTCTTCAGGACACTGTTGTAGAAGAGGGTATTTTCTATAAGGCTAGGTTTGTAGGTAGACACTGGAGCTCATGTTCCTTGCCCACGGCCACCCAGCTGGAGGTGATAGAGGCAGAATGTGGAGCCGACCTGTGCCGTCGCTAATGCCCACACTTTAGCCAGGCTGGGTGGGAGCACCTGAGCTGTCTGCCTGGATCCACCTGTGACCTGGGGAAGAGGAAGATGAACCAGGACAGACAGGGGCAGGAGGATGGGCCTATGCGGACTGCACTTCCGTCCACTTCCACATCCCTTGCTCTAAAGCCCACAGACTCTTTGAGCCAGGGCAGTGGGGGGCAGTGGGGTGCAGTGAGTGGGGGCGGGGTGAGCATAGCTTCCCTGTCTGCTCAGACTCTGAGTTTGTGTGCAGGGAAGGGAGGAGAAGCCTGCGTCTTGATGTTTAAAAAAATCCAACTCATAACAACTAGAATGCTGTTTTGGAGCGGAGGGGGAGGTGAGGGGGGGAAACCAATGTCTTTCAGACCTCCTTTGTGGCACCCAGGGCCTGCTAAGCAAAGGCAGAAGGATGCCCCAGGGCCTGGGGAGGGCTTGGGGAGGACTCAGTGTCGGTCCCTGGCTGCTCCTCTCCTGCCATCTATTGGCCATCCTTGGACTTGCAGGGCCCAGGCCAGAAGATTAGGCGATCCCTGGGGAATGAACATCCCTGGAGGTCCTGGGTGCCCCCGCAGTGGCGACGGTGGAGAGAGGCACACTGGTTAACTAAATAAGTACAGAATTCCCCACAAAGGACTTTCTTTCACTCGTCAAATTTGCCTTGGTTTCCTCATCTGCAAAATGGGGATAAGAATGCCTGCCCTTAGTGCTCTTTGGTGGTGGGCCGTGAAATGGCCATTTCCCAGCACCTATCTTTTGGAGAGAGTGCATCCCATGGGATTAGCCGACCCAACAAGTTCAGGCAAGAAGAGTCAACTGGAGGATGGGATGGGGGCATTTGAGCATCTGTTAGGAGGGAGACTCCAGCACTGTGTTGGGGCCGTGTATCCCCATTCTTTCTTTGTCCTTTTCTCCCTCCATCCCTTCCTTCCAATCACAAAAGTTCTGAGGGAAAGGTTTCTAAGGGTTTTGAAATAGCACATGAAAACACTTTCTAAACTGTAACGTGCTAGCACATACTAAAGTTATTATTAATGTTCTAGCAGTGTAGCCTGGAACTCTGCAGATGGGGAAACTGAGCCTCCCGGACTCATGAACGTGGGGCCGCAAGCCTCTTTGGGTTTCTGCACAAGCTCTCCCCTCTGCCTGGACTGCTCTTCTTAGGGTCTCCTCTTGAAAGTCACGTCTCTGTGCACATTTCACGTCTCTAGGGAGATCTTGCCTGATTCCCCAAACTAACGAATCCCCCCCTCCTTAGACCCAGCGTTGATTTAAAATTACCTAATTTTTTTTTTTTTTTACCCCCTAGAATTTTTCTTACTGGAATTATCTGATGTATGTAATTGATGCTGGTCGATTGCCAGATCTGTAAGCCCTGGGAGAACAGGGGTTCGTCTGTCTTTCACTTCTCTATCTGCAGGGCAGAGAACAAACAGTGCTCGGCCTAGTGGGCAGTGAGTGAACTCACGGGTGGATGGGTGAGCGGGTGGCTGGGTGGCCGGATGGCGTGCAAGGCCTCTCCCTCCGCCCCTGCCCAGCGGCCCTCCTGTGACTTCTCTGTGCTTCCTCCCCTTGCAGTGAGCATGGAGTTCGGGCGGGCCGTGTGGCTCCGGTTCCACCCATCGGCCTACCCCCCGTGCCCTCACCCCAGCTTTGTGGCACACTTGGGCGGCGTGGCTGTGGGCATCACCTTGGGCGTGGTGGTCTTGAGGAACTACGAGCAGAGGCTGCAGGACCAGTCGCTGTGGTGGATCTTTGTGGCCATGTACACGGTCTTTGTGCTGTTCGCTGTTTTCTGGAACATCTTCGCCTACACCCTGCTGGACTTAAAGCTGCCACCCCCTCCTTAAGGTGCTGGGGGACCTAGGTCAGGGGTGGGAGGGCCTAGCAGCAGCAGGAAGGAACATGGACTTTCTTGTTCTCGGCACCAGCTCTGAGAGGCCAGGGAGGAGAGGACGAGATGCTGGGCCATGGTGATGTTGGTGTTCAGGTTTGGACAATGGGGCCTCTTTTTCTGAAAGGCGCCTGCTGGATGAGTTGGATGCTGCTACCATTGTTTTTCTAGACTGTTCTGAGGACATCGAGCCAGGGCGAAGGCCTGGGGTGGGGTAAAAGCAGCCCTCCCCTCGGGCTGGGCTTGTTCTGTGTGTTCAGGCGACGCTTCCCTCGTCACAGACTGAGCAGCAGCCTCCTCCCTTATCCCCACCCCGAGATGTCAGGAAGACCCGAGGGTGGGGTAGCCAGGCAGGCCCTTGTCCAGCCCAGAGATACAGTTACAGGCCAGGAAATGTTCGCTCTACAGCTGTTGGGTTTGGAGCTCTGGAGTGGAGGAGGGCCTGGCGGTGGACATGTTGGCTTTTGGTGTAGGAGAGCCCAGGGTGTGCTCCTGGTGGTGGGCACTGGGGCAGGCAGAGGAGGGAGATGCTGTAACTCTAGGCCTCACTCTTGCCCTGGGGGTATCCAGTAAGAGAAACCCAAGTAGGAGGGAAAAAACTTCATCCCAAGCACTACCCTTGGCAAGGCCCAGTACCAGCTTTGGGTTTCTCCCTCCCTGTCTCCCAGAATGCTGACAACTCATATTGGTGCCCCAGCATCCCATGCCCTGCCTTGTTTTTAGAGCCTTTTCCTTCCCTTCCATTGCCCTGACCCTACATTGTGCCTCCCCTTTGGTCATGGGGATGTGTGTGTGTGTGTGTGTGTGTGTGTGTGTGTGTGTGTGTGTGTGGTTCGGTGGGTGAGGACATCCATGGGATGGTAAGAGATGCCATGGGAAGAACATGAGGGAAGTCAGAGGCTGCAGAGGAAGCCCGTGAGGGGCGTGGGGGTGTGTGGAAGGGTCTGCATGAGAGGAAAAAAGGCACTGAGAAGTGGGAGAGTGTGACGCCTGAGGATCTGACTTTCGGCAAAGCTAGCCCCTTCTTTCCCATTCCTCATCCTTTCCAGGCGTCTCCCTGAAAACCACTGACCAGTGGGAGACTTGTCCTCAGTGGAGGGAGATCTTGGGCCCTCCTAGGGATGCTCAGGATGCCGCGGTTGGCCTTTGCCAAGCTCCCTTCTTGTTCCCCTCTGGAATGACCTTCACATCTGAGATGGTTCTGTTCTGTTTTCCATAAGAGGGAAGGAACTTTGGGGGTGTCAGAGAGGCTGGGGCAGGAATATTGAAGCCATGTGTCCATTGAGTAGGAGGGACAGGAGGCTGCGGTACAAGAAATCCCAATTTAGGGGAAAACTGCTTCTGGACAATTGTTGGGTATTTGGATGAGGGTCAGAGGTGAGGGTAGCCCAGAGACGCAGATGCTCAGAGCTTGGAGGGAACTTGGCTATTGTCAGGTCCATCCCCACCCCAAGGCACAAGTGGGAAAATGAGGCTAAGGGAATGACTCCCAAGCAGGAGCTGATACGGGCCCTGAGGAGAGGGGGAGGGGAGGATGGCTTTTGACAAAATATGTGATTCCCTGTATACTGCTCTTGGAATTCCCAACCACTGACAACCCAGAAGGACAAAGAACTCCAGTCCGGGAGGCAGAGGGACTGGGTCCATGCAGGGGCGAGGGCAGGAGCTTAGTCTGGAGTCAGCCAGGCCAGGCAGTTGGGGGTCTTGAGCCGCTGTGGCTTCCTGTCCTCAGTGATCACACGTGAATGGACAGGGTCTCCATGCAGCCCCAGCCTATGCCAAGCCCTTCCCCCTCTTTGCCCGGTGCTCAATAGATTGTCTGGGTCCCCACGTGTGGCTCCTGAGGTCATGCTGCCCTCGTGCTGGTACAGTACTGAGGACTGCCAGGCCCAGTTGGCACAGGCCCAGATCGGGGGCTGGGCCGCGTCACCCTGAGGCATCTTGTCTGTGTCCTGCCAGCCTGTCTCTGCCCCACTGAGGGAAGGGTGTAGCTGGGAGAGTCAGCTTCCTAGGAGAGGAGAGTAAGTTGGAACTGGGGCTGAGAGGACTTGGGTAAGGATGGAGAGGGGGGCCCTGGCCATGGGCTGCAGCCCCCTAAACCTGAGTGGTGCTGTCCCTCCCTGGAGGAACGGAGGCAGCCGGTGCCCTCGGGGAGGCAGGGCGTCCCTCCAGGCCCCCCCATATTCTGGGTAGTGGGTGGAGGGAGTGGAGAGTCCCCCCTGCCTTCATCTGGTGCGGCCTGGAGAGGGGTCTACCTCTCGCAGGGGTGAGAAGAAACCTCTAGAAAGGCCTCAGAGAAGCACCCAGTTCCCTCAGGGCCGCAGATGGGAGCTTGTTACCAAGAAGGACTGCCTGAGGCAAAAATCCCATTTGCCATCCTGTCTCAGACCACCAAGGGAGCCTCATCTAGCCTCAGGCCACAGGCCCCAGCTGTTCCCTGTCAGCAGGGTCCAAAAGGAACCCCAAAGTTCTTTGGTCAGCTTCACACCCCCCTCCCCACCCTCGTCCAACCATCAGCTCCAAGCAGGGCCACCCAGTGGGGTCCACGGTCACTCCATACAACCCAGGTCTCCAAACTAGGACCAAAGATCATTGTCTGGTAAGAAAAGTTTCCGTTTTGGTGTCTGACTTTCTCCTCAGCCAGTCCGCGCACCCTCATCCCCGGCACCCTGCTGGCAACCCGTCCCTATCATCCCTCCTTCCTGAGCTCGTACAGCCACCGGCCCAGTGTGCCTCTTGGGACTGTGGAGGGTGGCTGGCCTTCCATCCACGGGACACGGAAACTGAAAGCTGGGGTTTCCCCAAAAAGCAGCCATAGATTTGCTCGCTCGTTAAACGGAAGTGGAATCACAGAAACTAGGGAAGGGAAAACAAGTCTTCAAAGGAGAAATTTGGCTTTAATGACACCATTAGTCATTCATTTTTTTAATTAGGAAAAGCTCCCTAATGAGGTGTTTTTGCCAGCTAATAGGACTCTCCATTTCCACGAGGACACTTCTTACTCAGAGGATTAGGGGAGTCATTGCTCACCAAACCCATATCTTCCTCCAGGGTCCAATTTCATTTTCAAAGAATGCAGATTCCCGGGTGCAGTGGAAGCCCTTTCCTGGCATCCTTCATGTTGCTCCCAGGGCTGGCCAAAAAGCACCAATACTCCTCTGCCTTAAAAAAACAGTGCCCAACCCTGAATTTCCGCACCCCCCCAAAGGACTTGCGTAAGTGGGAAACAAAAGGAAACACAAGCTGCAATGTTTGTTTCTAAATATTTTTGTATTGTGTACATTCTGTATATTTTTGTTGTAACATATTATTTGAACACAGATTCCATTAAAGATTTTTTTTTTTTTTAAGCCATCGGTGACTCAGGAAGTGACCTGAAGGGCTAGCACCGGAGCCTGTTTTGTCTCTGTCTGGGTCGGGGAGGTGGGAGGCGGCACATACAACACAGCTCCGGGGGTCGGTGCTTGGTGCTGGTGCTTCCAGCTCGGTGGTTCTTAACCGTTCTTGAATTACTGAACTCTTTTGCATGGTTGATGGAAGCTGTGTTTTCTCTTGCTCTGAAAATGCATGGAGAGACAATGTGGAGGGGGGAGGTGGTGTGTGAATAAGGAAACTGGTCCATGGTTTCAGGTCAAGAACTTCTGTGCCCGCTGTCCTGCCTGGCACCCCGTCTTCCTCTCCTCCTCTTACCCTATACTCTGATGGGAGATTAATATTTTGACTACTACTATTGGAGTGATCTTTGAAATATCTAGGCGCTTCCTTCTTTACCCCAATAGTCTATTCTTTAGGTCTTTCTAGGGGCAGTCAACACCTGGATCTTGAGGAAGGGATAGGAATTTTCTCAGGGTGAGAGGACATGGTTCACATACAGAAGGGGAGAGCGAGAGGGGCATAAATGGTAAAGTGTAGTGCTGGGTAAGTTTAATAATCAAATGGGCTTTGAATGGATGCAGTCTGAGAATTCAGTGAAGTGTTTTCTCCAGCTTTTCTAAACCGATGGCAGTATACACAGATTTGCCATTCATAACTGTTAAATTTTGTTGGGGGATTAAACGACCCTGTTAAATTCAGCATGGGAGCTGTTTCCCATAATGTTCTGTCACATCAGTTTCCTGTAGGTCATTGAAAAACATTTCTAAGAGCTGCAGAAGGCATCCCAGAACAAACTTGAGAGTACAGCTCAGACTCAAGGTCAAAGAACTCATTTCTGTTTCATGTGTGGATAAGTAACTCCCCTGGAGGGAAAATCAGGACACTGTCTGAACCCCAGTGTACCCCCCGGTCAGTTCCAGGCTCCATAGCCGGGGCGCTTACTGGCAAGCCCCCTGGACAGCCAGAAGCTGTTTAGCTTTGGCCTCCTATCACTTCTCCTTTGACTTTTCTGGTTCCTCCCTCCTACCAGAGTCTCCTTCTTCCAATAACTTTGTGAGACATCTACCGGTGATAAGGTAACTATGAAGACAGTTTACTGATGACTTAGTATGTGCTGGGCACTGCACGAGCCATTTTCCACAGATTATCCTCATTTAGTGCACAGCTACTCGGTGTGAAGTGGGTATCAATATGCTCATATTTATATGAGGGGCAGGCTTAGGGAAGTGTGGTGACTCCCGGGTACCTTATGGCATAGATGGATTCCCACTGTGGTTCCCGAGTTCATGCTCTCACTCCTCGGCTGTTTGTGTGGGACTTTAAGAGCACGAAACCCGTGGAAGGGCCAGGGCGTTCGTTTCAAGATCCAGTCTCACTGCATTAGTCACAGTAATGGACCTTGGAATATTCATTCCGTGCTCACTTGACAGGATTTCTGCTTTATCAGCCATCCTCAAATAGTTTACAAGAAAATCCACAGCTATGAATTCATTGTCACTCCCTATCACCGCCAACTTCCGGAATCTAGCATTTATGCAAGCTCAGAATGATTTGAAGTCTGTGACACATTCAGGAAGTTTAGCAGTTGCAGAGCTCTCCAGCTCTCTTAGCCCTCCAAGTGGAAAGACTTCATTGATGCCGGGCTTTGGGGGGGGGGGGGGGGGTGGGAATCTCCATGACTGAGAAGACACATGGCTGGGAAAATGTGGTCCTCGTCTTACTTCCCAGATGCCAGCAGGCTTTCCTAGCATCCAGTATAGTGCACCTCTGGTAAAGGACAGGCATTCTGTCACGGTTAATAATGAATAAGAGTGAAGGGAAGGGACTTGGGTTATTGAGTTCTATGGATGTAACTTCCCTGGACAATGAATAAAACATTGTGATGGAAATTGCCCTCACACCCTGCCTGATGCCTCCTGCAAGGTGCAGAAAGGTGTATTCCAGCAGGTGATGTGACTCTCTTCAACAAATTCCTTAGTGCAAGTATAATCTCCCCCTAAACTTATTGCGCCTTAATAAAAATGTCAGACTTGAGAATGGAGCTAGTTAAATAAAAATGACTCTGCTGATGAGAAGCTAAGTTGGGTTATTATTATTATTACAAATATAATTACAATTAAACAGGCCATTTTTGATACATGACAAACATATATTTCCTCTGTAGAGCACACAAGCAATACATAAATGTATTCCACACGTGAACAAATCCTTTTTAAAACTTTAAAAACGAATACATTAACTTATTAAAATTTGAATACAGTACATGTTTCTGGTCATGAGCTCTTTGGGTTTCTTCTCATGGCCAACAAGATACTTGATTCCATGTCACCATTTTCCTTGCCTAGAATAGTGATAGTTTGTCATAGGCTTGTAAAATAAGACAGTATGGCACACAACTATGTACTGTAGTGACCCTGCATCACACAATATATATGTAGAAGTACACATAAAGAATAGCTAACTATACCTTGACTATATCCATAAATGGCTTGAAGCAGGTAATACATTTACTTTAAAATGCCATTTATATCATGGACTGTTGAACGATACGTGAATCTGAAAACGAAAAATATGTTTTTTAGACTCCAAATGTTGGTGTCCTAATGTTGTCTATTAAAAAAATTGATTTCTAAATGAGTAACCAAGTACATTAGAAAAAGCCAGGTTCAAGGGCAGGTTCAATAAGCCTTCGAATTGCTTATTTCCCATGGTCATCCTGAATTTAATGCTATAAAAAATGCTATTTGGATTTTGTTTTCTACATTGCCTACAATCCAAGTTATTAAAATTTAAAACCATATGAGAGCCTTTATGAAGATCTTGAGAGTACAGCTGAATTGTATTTCTCATTAAAGGAAAAGAAATGGCTTGGTGAGTCATGTCCCCAGACTTCTGTAGAAGAGAAAGCATCAGGCCATTGTCAGTCATTTTCAAAGTTAAAACTCAGAACTTATGTATGAGTTTAGGAGAGGATTTTTATGGGCTTGTGTTCCTCTGAGCATCCTGAAGGCAGTGAGAATAAGACTTCTGATCTTCTAACCAAAAATTATTATTAAATGGATTTATTAAAGAGCTTTGCAGAACAAACTGCCGTCATGTGTGTAGCTACAATTGGCTTCCATGGGAATTATAAATGGCTCCATTTTCAACTGATTCGGAGTAAAACAATATGAGGCTTATAACAAATATACAAAAAACTAAAATCAATAAGTAACTCTGATATGAAGAATCTGTTTGCGTTCTTTATGTTACAGTTTGCTTGTAGAATTTGTGTACTTTGCTTCTTTTTTAACACTGTTGGAAAACTCCAGCATTTTCAACAGAAAAACAGAAAAGAAAATACAGGCTCTTGGCAGGTACCTCTGAACAAATGAATGAAGAAAGGGGCTGGCGGCCACTTCTGCAGTAGCTTTCTGTCAGAGATGATGTTTTGTCTTGAAGCTAGTGTATCTATTTTTAAAGCTCATTTAATTTCTTAAACAGTCATGATTTGTGTACTGACTTAACTTTGTCATCCATGCCATAATCAGACAAAAAAAATCTATCCAAGCACCCACAGGATGCACAGATCTGTCTCTGAAATGGTGTTGCAGCGCTAATCTGTCCTGAGACTAGGAGGACTTTTTTTTTTTTTTAAAGAAGCTATAGTACATTGAGAAAGGAGTATCACAATTTTTCTGGGAGGAAAAATTGCTAAATACTGCAGCCAACTCCTCAGAGAAGCCACAAAATGACCTTTCAAGATTTTTGAGCATCAACCCCCCGAGGCCTAGAATTTATGGGGCCAGCAGCGTCCTAAAATTCCACGACTCTAACACACATCTAAGACTCAGTGAAAATGGTCCTCGGATTTTTAGGTCTAAGTAAGTTAAATTTTAAAAGTACGAAATGAAGAAATCTAGAATGTGTCTGAAATAATCTTCAGTAGCAATCCTATGACAATTACAACAACCGCAGTTTCAAACACCAAGGCTGGTATGTACAACTTCACAACACAATGATCTCAAAACATGTGATCAAAAACTTTGGACAAGAGCTTCTTTCATAAATTCTTCAAGGACAGCCACCACGTTTTTGGCTTCAGGCATTTCTTCGTGTTCCACTTTAACAATCTTCAAAAGGATATCTCCACTACCACAGTTCTTCAGGAACATGTAACATTTAAACAAAGCGTAATGATTCATTTCTGCCTGTCGGATAAATCTCTTCAAATTATTTGTGTCTTGTATGGCCTAGAAAAAGATTACCCAGTTAAGTATGTGTTTAGTGAGATAATAACGAAGCCTGAGAAATATCTCCTATCCAGCTGAGAGCTTGACATATGTTGCCGAGATGTTTGCTTTTTATTTTAAATATTTCCATCGTTCTTATTGCTAATATGCTTTGCCCTTGGGAGAACACAATTTCTTACATAAAGTAAAAATATTTTTAAAATCTGCAAAATAAAGTAACAATGCTCCTCCCCATCAGAATTTTGAAACCTTAGGCACTGAACCATTTTTTTTGGTGCTTTCCAACTAAAATACATCACAAATTAGAAGACTGATGTCCCTGAGATACAAGCAAGCACTCAACCCAATTAATTGGAACTGCAATGACATATATGCAGAAGCTCCTGGAAAATATAAATAAAGTAAATGCCTTCTGGGGATTCTAGTTTTGAGAACGTCCTATTTAATAGACATCACAGCTGTAAAGCAGATTTGTTACTCTGTCACTGGTACTAACTAAAATTCAGACAAAAATGATATGATGATATTTGGCACATAGCCAATTAATTACCTTTAGTTTAAAGTTCTCCAGTACTTGTCGAAAAAGAAAAGGGTTACCTCCTTCAGTGCCATTCAAAAAAGCCTGCATCCAGTCCTCACAAAACCGGTTGCTTCCTATGAAGTATTTTAGAAAAAAAATAATAAAACCGAAATCCTACAAAGCATAAGACATTCTTTCTAATCCTACAAAGCATAAGATTTATTCTTTCTATTCATTATTTATTTATTTTTAACTGAAGTGTAATTGACACTTCATAGTTTGTTAGTTTCAGGTATACATCACCTGTATCCATTGTGATTTTCCTTCTTGGTCAAAACACTTATAGTGAATTATTTTCAAGATTTATTTATTTAGGGGCGCCTGGGTGGCTCAGTCGTTAAGCGTCTGCCTTCAGTTCAGGTCATGATCCCAGGGTCCTGGGATTGAGCCCTACATCGGGCTCCCTGCTCGGTGGGAAGCCTGCTTCTCCCTCTCCCACTCCCCCTGCTTGTGTTCCCTCTCTCGCTGTCTCTCTCTCTCTGTCAAATAAATAAATAAATAAATAATAAGAAAAAAAAAGATTTACTTGAGAGAGAGAGAAAGAGCAAGCATGCACAAGTGGGGGGAGGGGCAGAGCGAGAGGAAGAGAATCTCAAGCGGACTCCCCACTGAGCGAGGAACCAGACACGGGGCTTGATCTCACGACCCTGAGATCATGCCCTGAGCCAAAATCAAGCGTCGGATGCTCAGCCGACTGAGCCACCCAAGCGCCCCACGTGTAGTGAATTATTTAAGACTTTCTATAATGGTCTAAAAAAATGGTCGGCTCACCACCTGGCTAAGAAATACCAAATGGCTGAAGCCCTGAGTATGTCTTCCCCATCACATCCCCCTCCTTTCCCATCAGAAAGGATTATCGTTCCCACGTATTTCTTTCAACTTTTGTCACATACTTTTCTTTTTTAATCTCTAAGGCCTATATAGTATTACTTTACATATGTTAAAACTTTGTTTTTCTTTAATGGCTCTTCCACTAAATAGTATGGTTCTGAGCTAGTTCGTGCATTTTCGCTGCTATGTAGGGCTCCACTGTATGAATATAGCAGTTTTTCAGTTTTCCTGATAGACATTTGCTTCCATTCTTTGCTATTTCAAACAATGCCTTTATGAATATTTCTGTACTTGTCTCCTTATGTACACATACAAAAATTTCTCTATATACATAGGAGTGGAATTGCTAGGCATGATGGGATTTCCGTGGTTCTAGAATTGATACTATTTTTGGTGAGTGTGAGATAAACAGAGACAAGTGTACAAGGCTGGAAGGCTAACTTTGTCTCATGTGTTCTCGGTGCAAAAATAGAGACTCTCACCAGGAAGGCTGCCTCGGGCTGTGGCTCACCTGCATTGTAGAACTGAGGCTGGGAGCTGCTGCAATCGATGACCACGGATTTATGTGGCTCCTCGGTCATGGCCATGCACAAGGACGTCATGGTGCCTTCGTGAATAAGGCCTTGAAGACTGGCCACACTCAGAAACCTGCCACACACACAGGTTCTTTTCCACAAACAGTATTGCAGGGTAGGAGGGAGAAAGCAAATTCATTCTGCACTGGGTGGGGGGGTTTGAAAACGTAGTATCAGGCTTGCTGTGAAAAAGGAAAACTCTTCTTTACCTGTTAATGTCTCTCTTTGTTTTTTCATCCGATTCTTTAACTTCAACAGGAGTATAACTCAGAGCCTATGAGAGAAAAATAAAGCCTAATTGATACAGGGATTCTAGTTTTCCTTATTGAGCAGATACTCAACAGTAAACGTCAGCTTCCCCAATAAACACCACACTGGACCATTCTAGATGGGCACTACCCAGAGCCTTGTTCA